ATCTCCTTCCTCGACGGCGAATTTGCGACGAGCAGATTCCGTTGCCTTCTTCTCTCCATCGTGATGAAACCACACGGCTCCTTGCAAACTAGTCATTGCCGCAATAGACAAAATCTCACTCATACAGCCCATAGTAGATGCTGACAAGAGGACCTTAGCCATCATTGGTTCAACCGAAAGTTCGGCCATGCGTACGCCCAAGGGCCGAGTGAGCTTTGCGTAGTCATCCACCGCTCCCAATGAGTACAACAGCTCCAGCGCACGGATGATCAATTCTGCTGGTGGAGGGGTGAGAAAATCAAAGCGAAGAACATTGTCGATGCCAAGTGCTTTCAATTGGAGAATGATTGGTGCAAGATTTGATCTCTGGATTTCAGGCACGGTGGCTTCCGGTAGACTCTGGTAAGCCAGCTGCGTATACAACCTGTAGCATTTCCCCGCTTTCGTCCGCCCTGCTCGTCCAGCACGCTGCGTGGCCGATGCCTTGGAAACCGGCGTGGCTGTCAAAGTTTCAATCCCAGTCTTAGGATTAAAGGCACGCAGCTTAACAAAGCCACAATCAATGACATAGACAATGCCATCAATGGTCACTGAAGCCTCCGCAATGTTCGTTGAGACGATGACTTTGCGGGTATTCTCCGGAGCAGGCTCGAATACGTAGAGCTGTTGCTCGCTCGTTAGCCCAGCATATAGAGGCAGCGAGAGGACAGATTGAGCCCGAGGGTGTAGAGACGCTGCTCGGTCTGCAATTAGCTGAAGAGCCGTGTCAATCTCTTCTCGACCAGTCAGGAAAATGAGTATGTCGCCATCCGATTCACTGGCGTGTATATCGAATACGGTCTTCACTGCCCTTTCGACGTAGTTTTCGGCCGGCTCCTCAAGATACATCGTGTCCACTGGATACATGCGTCCTTCTAGGCTGATGATCCGACCTACAGAGTGCTCGTCTGCATCACCGTTCTGTTCGGGTTGTTCTCCAGAGAAGAAACGAAGAAAGTCTTCTGCTTGCAATGTTGCGCTACTGATAATTATACGGAGATCTGGCCTCCTTTTGCTAATCTTCTTCAGTACGCCGAGGAGTATATCAGTGCTTAGCGAGCGCTCATGAGCTTCGTCGACCATGATAATTGAGTATCTCGATAAGAGAGGATCTGCAAGTGCTTCTCGAAGAAGAAGACCATCGGTCAAGAACTTGATGCGAGTTTTGGCACTGGTCAAGTCCTCGAACCTAATGGAGTAGCCGACTTCTTCCCCTAAATTGCATCCAACCTCCTCTGCGACCCGAGTGGCCACGGTAGTAGCAGCGACTCTCCGAGGCTGATATGTCGTCAGTAATCAATAAACCTGACAATCAATACAGGGCTTTCCAACTCACCTACCTGCGTGACCGCAACAATTTTGCCTGCTTCGCACCATCCTGCCTGTTCGAGAAACTGTGGGATCTGTGTTGTCTTTCCACTTCCTTACCAACAATTCCGGGTCAGCATTGCTTCTCTAAGCCAAGTACAAAACCATTTTGCTCCCCGTGATGTGACTCAAGTCCTGGATCCAAACAAGAAAGATAATACGGAATGTACGAACCTGTTTGACCAACAACTATGATTACTGGAAAAGTTTCAACTAGATATAGTAGACTCTGACGATGACGTGCAATAGGAAGGAGAGAGGACGGCTTGTTGAGAGAAGGGATAAAAGAAGTCGATAGATCAAAGTCCGCCATCTGTCCGCATGTCAAGGTTACCCCAGCTATCTGATGGAGCTTCACAAACAAGGTCGTGAATGATGAACCAATCGTCAAAAAGTCATGTCTTGGCAAAAAAAAAAGACGCCAGTGAAGACCACCAGGATAAGGTATCTAAAGTACTTTAAGCATTGTACCCTCGAGCCCCCACACCGGAACCCGCGCGGCCGTAACCGCTTTACCCCTGGTTGCATAATCCTTGAGAAAGAAAAAAATTTCCCTCGGTTCTGGCACACCCCAAAATCAAAAATGAAAAATTTCAATTTTTCTGTATAGGTTCACAATTAAAATTCAATAAATACAGTATAGATCAGACTATAAAGTTTTTAAAAGATTTTAAATATTTTATTCTATTGTAAAATAGAATAATAGCGAATTTTATAAAATGCTCTTAACAGCTTTAGAGTAGTCGAGGTAATTTAATACGATATTGGAGAAGATGCAGCTATTCACTACTATTCTTGAAGGTATATGTGGGAATTCTCAGCGCCAAGCATTCCGGACCTTTGTGCATACGCTAGTCAATCTGGGCTCACCCGAGACTGCCGCTTTTAGCGCACTCAACCATCAAGCACGATGCCAATTAGAAATTTGGCTCAGAGAACTGAACCAACCAATAGCTCGCTGGTTGCCGATGACTCCGGCGGAAGCGAAACTTCATAGAACGAGCTGCACAAAGGGTCCCGTTGCTTTGTGCCCGACAGCAAAGCGTGCTTCATCGAACTTACACCACCGGCACGGAAAGCGCAAGGCTGGAAGTCGACGAATTGGCTGATGCGGATGAGTGAATGGCGCGATCCGCTGCGTTCGAAGCTCGCCATCTCTCTCAAGACATGAAACCTCCGTTTCACCATACAGCAATTGGCTTCTTCGCGCTCAGCACCGTCACGGCGACTTGGAGACTACGGCTTAGCCGATGAACGAGTGACATCGATCAGTGGGGCCAGCAGGCTCGACGTCGCCCAATATCTGGATCACCTTCTCCGAAGCGCACACAGCAACAGCCAGCCGCCCTCCCCCCTTCCTCCCGTCGTTTCCGAAGACAATCAGTATCTGGCTGAGCGGCGCTCCTCGACTGTCGCGTCACCCGTCGGGCCTCGCCGCAGTCGTGGCCCGCCCGTGGAAGGGGCGGAAAAGGACAGCCGCGCTCCGAGCCTCAGGCGTAGCTACTCGGTCAAGTGGCAGGGTTACAGTCATGAGCGTAACGAGCGGGCGGACGAGGCAAATATACACGAGGCACTTGCTGAAGGATTTGAACGGCCGCGATCGGGTACACTGCCGGCGGTGCCATGACCAGCTTGGAAGTTTCTGCATTCTGTCTTTATATCACATTTCATATTCTCCAGTCAACCTTCCACGGGCTCCCTGTGGTGCGTGCCCTTGCTTTACACGAGGTGAGGTGTCTTGTAAGCCCTACTATATGGTTCGGGGCAGGGCATGATAGCTGTCTTACACTTGCTGCAAGGAAGGTCTCTTGTTGTTTCCAAGACGGTATTGGGATAGACTACCTCAAGCTTTGCCGTCAAAATTTGCGGAATAAGTAGAGTGAGCGAGTCAAAAGCCGAGCTTACGTCCGTCTTAACTCCATATCTCCATCCTGAATCCCTGAAGAGTTGATCCTGATCGCTCATCATTGCGCTTGCTTTATCAGCGCCGTGTCATTTTGTCTATGAATTAAATACTTCTCGCCTTACAGTCCCATCTCTCACCAACTCGATCATCCCTTGTCCCTCCACCTCCCACTCGATTCAAATCACCAAACAAAAACGAACACCATGCATACCGGTTACCACGCCCTCATCGGCGCCGCGGCCGACATCCCCACCAACCCCCCCAAACCCATCATCTCCTTCAGCCCCGTCGTCCTCCCCGCCCCAGGCCGTCCCGTCGACCTCCAGCTGCGCGTAACGGTGCCCTCGACCGGGGACGCCCTGCCGATCATCCTCCTCTCGCACGGCCAGGGGCGCAGCAACTCGCTCTCGTCGCTGGAGGGGTACGCGCCCCTGTACGAGTTCTGGGCCGCGCACGGCTTCGCGGTGCTGCAGCCGACGCACCTGAGCTCGGCGTTCCTGGGGCTCGAGGCGCCCGAGGGCCAGGAGCTGTTCTGGCAAGAGCGAGCCGCGGACATGGTGCGCATCCTCGACCACCTCAACAGCGTCGAGGCGGCCGTGCCGGGGCTCCGGGGCCGCCTCGACAAGCGGCGGGTGGCGGTCGCGGGCCACTCGGCGGGCGGGTGGACCGCCGCCATGCTCCTGGGTGCCAGCAACACGGACCCGCGCGACGGGTCCACGTGGTACGAGCCCGAGACGCGCATCAAGGCGGGCGTCGTCCTCGCCGGCATCGGAAACGGCGGCGCGGATATCTCGGACTTCGGGAAGAAACTCGTCCCCTTCTATGGCGCGAACTTCAGCAACATGGCCACGCCCGCGCTCGTGGTGTACGGTGACGAGGACGTCAGCCCCCATTTGACGATCCGCGGCGCCGACTGGCACGCCGACCCGTACGCGCTTGCTCCGGGGCCGAAAGATCTGCTTACGCTCAAGGGCGCCAAACATATCCTCGGGGGTATCAGTGGGTGGGATGCGAGCGAGACGTTGGATCAGAGTCCGGAGCGGTTGGCGGTAGTGCAAAGGATGACGTGGGCGTATTTGAGGAGTCAGCTCTATGAGGGAGATGGGGCTTGGGCAGAGGCATGTAAGGCGTTGGAGGGGCTTGAGGGGCAGGGGAAAGTTGAGAGTAAAAAGTGAGCGAAGTTTTCGCTTTCTATTGTTAGCAATGTCCGTCCTCAACGCATCTGATGAGTTTTCAGGAACGGTAGCATCTAAGCTTTTGAAAACACACTTCGTGAGTCCACGGGGACAAAGCCGTCGGGCCGGCGTATATCACTATCGTCTATGGTGTCTATAACATGAAATCATTATGACCCGGTTGCAACGGTTTCTGAGAGCAACCCTTGGTCACCTACAATCAGCGTTAGTCACGCGATGTAAAGCAGCACTCACCCTAGCCTTGGTCGGGGGAAACGCATTACTCTACTACCTTATAACCTTGGCGGTAAAATTTTAGCAAATCCCGCTGCAAGATATCGAGGCATTCAGCAGCTCATCAACTCAACTTTACAGCCAGAATTAGTGAGAGCGAGAAAGAGATTTGTGAGATGGTTACGACAGCTTTTGTGTTTGGTTGACCGATACTCTCTATGATAAATCCACCTTTTCGATACTTGAACAAGCCTTCAATCTCTGGCTTTCCCGGGGGTCTAGAGCTCTGAATGTCTGACGTTCGATTTCCAGCTCTTGAAGCTTCTCAGCCACTTCCTCACCGTTCTGATCTCCCACAGATGCGCCTGCTCGATGAACTGTGGCTCCGCGTCGAGATCAAGAATGCCGTAGCTATCCCAGTGATGGCCCGCGCCGGCAATCAAATACTCAGGATGAAGATCTGTAGAATAGCGCGCTGGGGCGTCATTCGAGTGATAGCAGACGTCGAGCCAGACGTCGATGTTGCCGTCAATGAAGGCTAGACGATCCGCAGAGAAATTGAAACCTCCGTAATGATTGTAGTAATTCAAGTTGGGCGTGCTGGGTATGGAATTGAACTTCCCCTTGGGAAAAGCCCATTCACACCATTGCTGGGTGTAGTTGACCTGAAGGACGCGGGAGATCAATGAAGGTCCAGTTGCGGGCGCGACCTGATAGGCGCCCTGTTCGGTGCAGGTGCTGTAAAGGTAGCTGCGCGCTGCTGAATTAGTTGTATCGGCATAGAAAGTTTGATTCTGGGTGCCAAAGCAAGACGTGCTGTCGATCGGGACACCGTCACAGAGTGGGAGGAGTGTTTGTTTCACGTATTGGGCGTAGTTACCAAGGTTGCTCCAAGCCTCGCCATTACTGTATTTACTGAGCACGGTGTCGACCGCTGTGATGTTTTCAGGGGCGTCCAGATTGGTGACATTGGAGCAGAAATGGAAGAAATCCTGGGAACCATATGTCGAGTTCCAATTGAGCTCTTGCCATGTGTTGGTCGGATAGTTCATGGGCCCACCGATTGGGAAAGCAATTGTCATCGCGAAGTCTCGGTTGTCTACCAACGCCTCAAGGCCGAAAATTGCCTTGAATTCTTTAATACCTTCAGTGTTGTTTGCAGCAACTAGTGCATCGAACTTGTCGACGATGTTGTTGATACTTGTGACACAGTCTTGGGGAGCGAACTTCTGGATTGGAGCGTACCACTCAGGATAGGCGAGCACCGCATGGATTACGGCGCTACTAGCAATGCCGCCGTATAGCAAGCCTCCGTATTGCTTGACAGAGAATGCAGTCTGAGCTCCTGCCAGACTTCCTCCGTACAACACCCATGGTGAAATTGGTGCCGATATATTGCCTTTGATGCCAGGGAAGGTTGCATGAGTGGCGAAGTATGCATTGTCCGCGATTGTTTGCTCGGTAGTCAAGTAGACTAGTTGGTCTGTAGTCGAAGTGTTGTAAGGAAACGATTCTCCATAGTATCTATTCTCTAGGATGACGCCCAATCCATTCGTTGCATTCATCAAAATCTGGATGATCCCGGTCTCCAAATTCGAGAACCTGCTCGGCCCACTCGTTTCACCTCCTATATACAGATATACTGGACCGCCAGGTTTATAGTACGTCGAGTCGAAATAATATCGCTGAGAGAAGGTCGCATTTGTGTGCGGGGCATAACGTGGGTTATTTGGGAAATGATCAATGGGCATATCAATCGTATGCGCTGGGTACTGCGAGGCATCCTGTCTGCGCTCAAGTGATAGCTCCATATGTTTAGAAGCCAGTAGCTGTCGTGGGGGCATTGCACAAGTCAAGGGCAAGGCCCCGAGGCCAGCTAACAATATTGGGAGCATCATTGGGCAAGTAGTAAGGAACAGCAAGATCAAAGCATCTATAACGTAAAGAAGGTCTATCTATATATGAATGGAAATAAAAAGAGGGAGACACGAGAGATTTATGAGGGCAGGAAAGCCGCAGAGAATGCGTAGGTGACGCCAAGGAGCGTTGAATCCACATACTGTCGGAGACATGATTGGGTGATGTACTATTGTCCTCACCGCCAGAGCTGCGAGGTCAAGGTGGGGTAAGGTAGGTGTGACAAGCTTAGATGGGTTTTCTTCTTCACCTACCTAACTTGGAAGATTACCCGAGATGGCATATCCTAGCGTGAGGGGCCAGCCCGAAGCCTTTGACAGCTTCTTGTTTTAGAGCATCAGCCTGAGATGGGGGGGGCGTACGCATTTACATAGGATCATCGCGGTACATTTCGTATGTAACCCCCACTCGCCCTGATCGTGGCCGCTTTAGCAAATATTCCAGCTGAGCTTCACCTTGAGGCCTGCAGTACTGGTGGTACTGTACTCTTTTACCTCACGATAAATATTCACCCTACCATACTCCTCTACACTACCATACTCTCCTACCCTACGATATTCTTATATCCCACGATACTCTCTTACTCCGCGATAATCGCCTACCCTACGATACTCCCAAATTTGTCGACTGGCTAACATAGTATCGTTGGTAATAAATATCCCGATCGTCCGTGATGAAGTCGAGGTACCCTCCAGATTGCCCTCAGTGCCGGTCAATTATCACAGGCGGCCCATGTTTCACCTCTTGCAGTCGTTGAGCAGTGATCGACTGACCCTGTAGGGCTTTGATATCCTCGTCAATGAAAGCGAACAACAGATCCTCTACCTTCTTCGGTCCACCAAGCCTTTTGACCCAAGCACAGTACATCGTTTGCCATGATTCTGTTCCACGGCCAGGCCCAAAATGATCGAGAAGATGGCTGAGGACGCATCTCAACCCTGGGAAGGCGTGGGACGTATCCCCAAGACTCTGATACTGATCAGCTTGGCAATTGAGCTCCTGCAAAATAGAAGCAGACGTTGTGGGAGCGAGTGTCGGCTTCGGCGTATTTGCTTTTGGAGAATCGTCAGAACTAAAACGTGCAGGCTTGGTGTGGTTCGGCTTTTGTCGCATTGCTCCAGAGGATTGTTTGGGGCATTGTGGATTTTTGTGTCCTTGAGTATGACAATGGTCGCAAAACAATTTTGGTCACTTGTCTATCGAATGCCCCGACTTCTTACTGTAAGTGCAGTTTACTTTGCAATCTGGGTTCGGGCAGCGCTTCTCATAATCGTTGCGTGCGCCACAAGCGTGGCTTACGAAGTCGTGTACCATTATGAGGAGGCCTAGCCAAATAGGATGTTAATTATGAGAGTGTATAATGTTTTCATGATGATGCGTGCAAATAGCGGTTGTCGTACGCGTATTTTGGCACTCAAAAAAATCTCTTTCCTGTAAGTCTTTGCAACGATAGTAGATGGAGCAGACAGGTATACGCTTGCAGGCCTACATTAGCCTGACTTACAATGCTGGTTGCAGGGACTGACTCAGTAGGATGAGATTGGGGTACATTTCGTATGGTTTTGCACCACAAGCCATGAATGTAATCTGTTGCTATTTTCTCGATCACGAGTAACGACTGAACGTGATTTATAGAGCAGAAAGCATGCAGTTGAGCATGCTCCTGGCAAAATACACGAGGAATGTCGGAAAAGTGTATATAGTATATAGAGATCGACAACCAAAAGTCCTGCACATGCGCTAGTGGCAGCCCTAACCCTAATTTCGGAAGGCAACCATTTAGCCAAAGAGCCTAGATTTCCTGGAAGTTCATAGACTGAACTTGGGGGAATCAGTGAAGCCTGATAGGTGCATGGGCCCTCAAGCGGGGGTAATGCCAGGTACTAATCCCAAGCAACTCTAAGCGCATTGTCCAAGCAACGCTCGGGGCGGGGTGTTAGCACAGAGCTAGATCCTTTTCCTGGCGGGTGCAGGACCTTTGGTATCGATCTCTTTTCTAAAAAAATCTTCTTTATAAGCCCAACAAAGTTAAACGCAATTAATGTATATTTAAGATATTGAATTGAGATATCTTTCACGCACTTTACGGTAAATCAAAGAAAGGAGGAAAAAAAATTCCCTCGAGCCGGACTTGAACCGGCGACCTGTGGATAACTAATCGATAACGTTACACTAATTCAATGTCAGTCAATTTCACTTTGATTCAGACCAGGAAATAACTTACGTCCATCGCTCTTCCAGCTGAGCTATCAAGGGGCTTTCCAATTTAGTTTCTATCTCATTATATATTGTACTTTTTGTGGGGCTTGGCAATCCTTCAATCCTTGGCGCGTTAGCCGAGCCGCGATAGAGTAGGCAGCCCTGTCAGTTTGTTCAATATGTTACTTCGTCTCCTACTCCAAAGACAGTCCTAGATATCTGAAGGCTTTTACCTGTATCATAACAGTGGCGTTCATCATCATCCTCATGTCAGATTCGGAGAAACCTGTACGTTGCATTGGTAAGAAGTGATCAGAACTGGGTCCTCACTAACGAACAACAGAAGCCAAAGGCTCCACCAGAATCACCAACGACTGCGAAATCCTTAGACTTCGATGACGAGACTGCGGAGACAATATCATTTCCTCTAAAATCCCCTCCCTCAACAGAAAAGCCGAAGCCCGGCGCCGAGGAAGAGTTTCCCCCTCCCAAGCCACCCCGTCCGTTGGCTCCAGAGCAACAAGCAGAGAACACTTTAAAAGAAGCTTTTCCCTCCATCGATGCTGCAGTTGTCAAAGCTGTCTTGCGAGCTAGTGGTGGCCGAGTAGAACCGGCTTTCAATGCTCTTCTAGGTATCTACGGTCAGGACTTCAGCTCGCTTTAAGGGATGCTGATGGTATTCAGGCATGTCAGATCCAGATGCCGCAGAGCCTGCTCCGCCGCCGCAACCTCCAAGACCACAACGGGCGCCAACCGGCCCAACGTCTACAGAGGAAAGCCAGCTTGCAGCAGATGAGCGATACGCGCGGCAGCTTGCCGAGCACTACAATGGGGCTCCTGCTTATGGTGAAGGCCCGAGATCTGGATCAGGCAACCGAAGGCCACAGCAACGTGGGCCCCCGAGACAAGCAAGTGGATACGATCAAGACGACGGGCCCAGTTGGTTTGATGGTACGTTCACCCAAGACGGAGCAGATCTCGGTGGTGTCTAACGACCTGACTAGAGGAATTGCCCATTTTGAAGGACAACATTAAAAAAGGCTTTCTCGAAACACAATCGACAGTCAATAAATGGGTTAACAGCTTCAAGAAGAAGATCGATGGTGAAGGCGACGACGATTTTCAAGGTCGACCACCACAGCAAGGCTATCCAGCTCAGCAACAATCCGATGGTAGGAGGAGCAGTGAATTTGGAAGGCGAAGTGCGGACCGCGAGCGATATGATGCCGATCCACAGGTGCTTGGAGATGATTTTGCTGGCCTCCAAATGAGAGATAATGAGGGTATGTTGTAACAATGTCCAACACACTGGACAATTGAAGGCTAATGGATGTGGCAGCCCAACGGCGCTCGAGCCGTCCTTTGGCAAACCCCGATCTTTTCAAACCAACACCGCCCCGACCTCAGTCGACTCAATCAGGCCGCCGAGTCTCATTTCAAGAAGGCCCACCAGAAGAGATTGAAATTCATTATCCCAAGTCGCCTGATCCAACCAACCGCCCGTCATCTGGCACCGGAGGCAAATCCAGTAAGTGGCAGCCACTTGCTCCGGTAGACCCTAGTCCCGTGGCAGACCATGATCCCTTCAGTCTAGGCGACAGCGATGATGAAGAAGCCAAGAAGAAGGATGTCAAGGCAGACGATAGTGGACGATTGCAGCAGGCAGCGGCGGAGGCCATGTCAGACGATATTGGTTCCTCAGGCGAAAAGAAGCTCGAGCCTCAGGAAAGATCTGGGAGTCTGAAGACGAAAGATAAGGAAACCGAGACTTTGGTGGGCAAGCCTTGATGTTATATCAATGTTTGGTCCGGATTCTGTAGATAGAGATGACGCATTTTGCTCCGAGCGTAGAGCACAAACATACATGTATCATGCATTTGATTTCTTATCATAAACGAAACGCCATTCTCGGGTATCTTCCTATGCCATCCCTTATGACTTCATCCCATATGCAGTATCGACCGCTATCCAGATCCTACGCTGCCTTGCTGCTGAACCTTTGCGCCCTCTTTCCTCAGTTCATGGATCACGGTCTGTATATAATCCCATCAGCGATAGAGATTCCAAATACCAGAAGCTCATCACGCACCGCCAGTGCTTCAGGATTGACGCCATTCTCGATCAAGGATACGCAAAGAGACAGTGTGCTACGGTCCAGATGTGTGTTCTGTGGACCACGGTGTTAGCTCACGCGACTTGGGGACAGAGGGAGGAAAGCTTCTAGTTACAAGCAGGAGAGAGATCTCCGAAAGGATATCAATCACTTCTCGCGCAGCTTGGCGCTTGGATGCCAATTCGACGCTCGGCATTCTGCTTAGGACGACTGGGGTTTATGGAGCTTGAGATGTGTAGTTCTAGTAGGCAATCACCCTCGGCTGGGTGACCACGTGACCTACTCGTATTCACTAGGATTTGCAAGTTAACGGAACTTCCGCTATCCGATAAACACCGAGAGGCAACAAATTTCGGATTCCGCAAATCCTACTAGAGCTATCTAAGAGCCATTCACTATTAATAGTGACTACTGAAACGGACAGCTAGAAAGCGTTGTAACGGTGCCGATTCGAGTTTGACCCCTAGGCATCCTCAAAATGCGACCAAATCATGGGCTTCAATCCTCTTCTACAATTGCAACAACGCTCTCACCATGCCAGTCCTCTTGCTCGGAGCTACTGGGAACGTTGGATCGCGCCTA